GAGATTCTTTTTCTGTTCAAACAAACCAGAACAGTACTGGTTCTGTGTTGGGGTTAATGATGTGCAGTACCTCCCCAAGAGGTGCAGTTACTATCATTGCCTCACAAAAAAAAATAGTCTTGGACATCCTAGCTGGCTGGAACTGGAGGTGTTTCAGAAAATAGATGCATTGTTATTGTATTTAAAGCACAAAATTGTGCTAAAAGGTAACAAGTAACAAAACAAGAAAGCACATTTTTGTTTTCACAGTGTTCATGCTACAAATGATGATCGTGGACGTAAAGGAGTGTCCTGGATTAAAGAGGTTACTGTGTTTTTGGGTGATGTCACAGTGCAGCTACTGCAGGACTGGATTGTGAAGGTTTGTATGTAAATAGACCATAAAGGGTTTTACCCAGTGAATTTTATGCTTAGTGTATTCACTCATCCATCTCCTCTTTTATCCAGGTGAATGATGAGGCTGTAACTTTGCCATTTCTCAGGGAACCATACATCTATATTGAACGGCAAACCAACACAATTTTGCTCAACACTAACATTGGTCTGAAGGTGCAGTACTCTTTGTTTTTCTGTCTCTTTACCTTCTCACAAATTTGGTCACTCTCAGTTTTGTAACAAACTGGTACATCCACTCGCCCACCTTAGGTGCTGTGGAGTCCTCGTTCACATGTAGAAGTAAGTGTGCCAGGCTCCTATAAGGGCCACACCTGTGGTCTTTGTGGAAACTTCAACAACTACTACCAGGATGACCTCCGGATGCCAAATGGACGAATCACCCTATCTGAGTCTGAATTTGGAAACAGCTGGAGGGTAAAATAAATACACAGCAGTAATACAGAGACTCTATAAAATACATAGCTTATCACTAATTTTGACCGCATGCAAATGAAATAACTTTTTGTCATTTAAGGTCACAAATGGTACCCATTTCCGCTCCTCCTGTCGTCCTGGCGAGAATGTTGATCCTTGTAAGGATGCAGGCTACCAGGCCAAGAAGGGGGCCAACACTCGCTGTAAAATCCTGAAGTCTGCCATCTTTAAGCCCTGTCATCCCGTGGTGCCTCCTGAACAGTGGTACGGAGCTTGTGTTTACGACCTCTGTGCTTGCGGTGCCAATACTGATGACTGTCTTTGTGACACGTTGGAGGCCTACGCGAGCCAGTGCAGAGCAGCAGGAGTCATCGTGCAGTGGAGGAGCGCGTCTCTGTGTGGTGAGTAAATCACCAGAAAGTGGCAAATATACTCTAGGATGTATATTATCATTTCACCTCGAGCGTGCATGCCGGCAACCAGCTGTCAGCTTCATAACCAACTTTAAACTG